TTTTTTTAAATCATTTAATGACGCACGAATGAATTAACCATGAACAAGGAAAGATTAAAACAAACAAACGAGGATAAAAGCATGGATATCCGTACCTTAGCATCAGTGACTTGATTTGGCGCGAAAACCTTTGAAAAAACATCTGCATAGTGACTGACGGTCATGGACGTTCCACTCAGACCGACGAAACGGCCGAGATACTCCTTTGGCTTCTCTAAAATAGAGTGGACACACTCGCCTATATCATTTACGTCAATGGCGTCCATCATTGAGTGACCCATCGGGATTTCTGAAGAGAAAATGAGGATAGAGTTTACATACGATCTAGGAATGGGGTGAGGGGTTCTCGCACACCCCTGAACCAAGAAAGATTCCTAGGTTTGGTTGTTAAAATATTAGTTGGAAAAACAGTGATGAAGAAAAACAGATCTTACATGTAACACGTAGCACGTTAGGTGCACATGACAGCTACCTAAGCAAAGCATTTTAATTGAAACTAGATGCTTCCCCGCTTGAGTTTTAATCTGTTTTTAAAATGCCTCGAAAGGCCTAATACACCCGAGTAATAAACCTCTCAAGAAAAATACTTAAGAAGAATAAATGGTTAAGAAAAAAAAAATGAACATAAATCCAAATTTAAAAAAGGATAAAAAATGATTAACTAGAATAAAATGACGAAGTTGTGCAAAAACACGTAACAATAATAAAAGGATAAAATAAAAATCATCGCAGAACAATAATAAACAGCCAGAGAATCATCTGAATATCATATGAAAAAAGTGCTCCCCGTGAGCTCTGTGGAGGGTATGTGCCTGAGAGTATGCAAGATTTCAGCTGTGTAATTGCATATTGCGAAGAAATAAATCATTTAGGATATATGTCATATCTTGCGGGGTGCTGTTTGATTGCACGACCAAATTTAGCTACTTCTTTCGTGGATCTCCTCATGGAGATATCGATTTGACTTGAACATTACTCTGAAGGCAAGAGTCAACTACCCAAGACCGTGGTCACAGCTGGGCAAACCTTAACCAGACAAGATATGACGTCACCAAAATACTTTGTGACGTAAATTTCACATAGGAAGTGTGATCTTTGGCTGCGTTGAGGGGGGAATGGGGCAATCCTTAATTCTGTACGCGTCTGGTTGCGTTGGTTGACTACGGGGGTGCTGGTTTGTGAACGCAGCCACAACAAAACATCTGCACGTGCAGTATGTTTGCAATAAGACAGGTATGTAGACTGAAGTTAGATCAAATTGCACAACAGAAAAGTAGTACAAAACCCCTGACAAATGGGATACGTCGATATAATAAATCCTACAGCTCCAGAAAGAAATGGTAAACTGTTCAAATCATAATTCCTAAATTAATTAATTTTACGAGGACATTTTGGTACCCCATAGCAAGATGTTTTTATGATACATGTAACATGTAGACGATAAATACCATGTGTTTAAAATCCTCCATCTTCAGTTCGTTACATATTATGTGTGCGTTTCTATTGACGTTTATTGGCTTGAGTTAGGAAATAAGCTGGGAGTCCAAGTAATTTTGGGTGATTCCAAGTGTTAGGCTTGAACAGTATGAAAGCAGTTTGTATTGCAAAGAATAAGGGCTCATTCCCCATGAATCTATTGTTCTACGTAGATCGATTCAGCTTCACGGGGACTCTCAGTGAATTCAATCAGATTAACAGATTAACACGCATCCTCTTGTTTTCGACGTAGGAGGCAAGTTTCTCTGTTAATCTGATTGCATTCAGCGATAGTCCCCGCAGAGTTGGATCGATCTCCGTAGAACGATATTTTCATGGGGAATGCGCCCTAAGATTGTCTCACCACGAAAAACGTATCAAAGCTGCATCAGAATATCATAACTCAAAACTGACTTAAATAAAGGTATTTTAAAATACACATAAAATACATAATTACCGAGTACATATTTCCCTTCGTCTACCTTCCTGGGCGGAAAATAGGTCAAGAAGTTTTGATAGTAGAAAGACACTCGTATACCGGTAAAAGGTACACCGGACTCCTGCATGTATTCTTCTATCTACAATATCAATAATATCAAATAAGTTTGAAATAAATAATATAAATTGAATTCAACTGAATTGTATCAAATCAAACCATACGTGTATTAGATTACATATCAAAATTGAATTATTACTCCAAGTTTAATTCATCTTTCAACCATAACTTGCTTATCAGTACTGCGGTTATGTCTTATTTAATGCCGTGGCTTGTATTAACTGGCCTATAGATGGGATGAGGGGTGGAGAGACGGGGGTTCACCTCTACTGTTACAATTTCTGGTGCAACGAAAATGTTGTTTAATGTTTAGGGCCATTAAATCTCTAACCTAAACAATTGTCACTGGTACAAGTATACTCAGTGAGTATGGCACTGATAAACCAACTCTATCAAACATGAGCTAAATCTGGCAAACTAGACATCATAGGTTACAGGTGTAGATGAGTAACGTATTTATTCATGTGTGTATGTGTCTGAGATATATACACCATGTCTACGCATGTTTTCTTGAAAAAAAGTTTTGACATTTTACTTGTTTGAAAGGGGGTACGTCAGACCACGTTACAGATTACAAGTACATGCAATGGAGATCAACTTGTATGTATGACTCAACTTGTAAAATTCAAAGGTAGCATATTACAATGAATCAGTGTAAAGGTTCCAGCAGGTTTGAATACTGTTATTATTTATATAAGTATAGTTAATTGCCGAATCAACTTGACATAGGCATATAACCATAAAAAGTATAACATTTGTGGTAGGTGGAGGTGGCAACCACTGTTGACATATTGGAGTACCTAAAAAAGTGGTGGATGGACAGACTTATATATCTNTTGAGGGGGGAATGGGGCAATCCTTAATTCTGTACGCGTCTGGTTGCGTTGGTTGACTACGGGGGTGCTGGTTTGTGAACGCAGCCACAACAAAACATCTGCACGTGCAGTATGTTTGCAATAAGACAGGTATGTAGACTGAAGTTAGATCAAATTGCACAACAGAAAAGTAGTACAAAACCCCTGACAAATGGGATACGTCGATATAATAAATCCTACAGCTCCAGAAAGAAATGGTAAACTGTTCAAATCATAATTCCTAAATTAATTAATTTTACGAGGACATTTTGGTACCCCATAGCAAGATGTTTTTATGATACATGTAACATGTAGACGATAAATACCATGTGTTTAAAATCCTCCATCTTCAGTTCGTTACATATTATGTGTGCGTTTCTATTGACGTTTATTGGCTTGAGTTAGGAAATAAGCTGGGAGTCCAAGTAATTTTGGGTGATTCCAAGTGTTAGGCTTGAACAGTATGAAAGCAGTTTGTATTGCAAAGAATAAGGGCTCATTCCCCATGAATCTATTGTTCTACGTAGATCGATTCAGCTTCACGGGGACTCTCAGTGAATTCAATCAGATTAACAGATTAACACGCATCCTCTTGTTTTCGACGTAGGAGGCAAGTTTCTCTGTTAATCTGATTGCATTCAGCGATAGTCCCCGCAGAGTTGGATCGATCTCCGTAGAACGATATTTTCATGGGGAATGCGCCCTAAGATTGTCTCACCACGAAAAACGTATCAAAGCTGCATCAGAATATCATAACTCAAAACTGACTTAAATAAAGGTATTTTAAAATACACATAAAATACATAATTACCGAGTACATATTTCCCTTCGTCTACCTTCCTGGGCGGAAAATAGGTCAAGAAGTTTTGATAGTAGAAAGACACTCGTATACCGGTAAAAGGTACACCGGACTCCTGCATGTATTCTTCTATCTACAATATCAATAATATCAAATAAGTTTGAAATAAATAATATAAATTGAATTCAACTGAATTGTATCAAATCAAACCATACGTGTATTAGATTACATATCAAAATTGAATTATTACTCCAAGTTTAATTCATCTTTCAACCATAACTTGCTTATCAGTACTGCGGTTATGTCTTATTTAATGCCGTGGCTTGTATTAACTGGCCTATAGATGGGATGAGGGGTGGAGAGACGGGGGTTCACCTCTACTGTTACAATTTCTGGTGCAACGAAAATGTTGTTTAATGTTTAGGGCCATTAAATCTCTAACCTAAACAATTGTCACTGGTACAAGTATACTCAGTGAGTATGGCACTGATAAACCAACTCTATCAAACATGAGCTAAATCTGGCAAACTAGACATCATAGGTTACAGGTGTAGATGAGTAACGTATTTATTCATGTGTGTATGTGTCTGAGATATATACACCATGTCTACGCATGTTTTCTTGAAAAAAAGTTTTGACATTTTACTTGTTTGAAAGGGGGTACGTCAGACCACGTTACAGATTACAAGTACATGCAATGGAGATCAACTTGTATGTATGACTCAACTTGTAAAATTCAAAGGTAGCATATTACAATGAATCAGTGTAAAGGTTCCAGCAGGTTTGAATACTGTTATTATTTATATAAGTATAGTTAATTGCCGAATCAACTTGACATAGGCATATAACCATAGAAAGTATAACATTTGTGGTAGGTGGAGGTGGCAACCACTGTTGACATATTGGAGTACCTAAAAAAGTGGTGGATGGACAGACTTATATATCTTTAAAAAAAAAAAAAAAAAAAAAAAAAAAAAACAATTGCAGTGTGACTTTTCTTTATAAGGCTAGTATTATATAGTAATTATATAGTATACCAATAAACAAATATTGTTGGGTCAACTCAAAACCTTATAGTGTCCTCTCTTAGCTTAGAGACAGCACACAGGAATCTAGCTAAATTTCTTAGGTCAGTAACATTATGTGTACTTAATAACTGTACTAGTTTGAAAGTAGATGGCCTTCGCCAGTAATACTGTTTGATATAAAATCTTCTAAAGTCAGAGTACAATTTACATATCACAATAAAATGATACTCATATAAGTAAATGCGACCTAGATGAGCCTGGTGCAAGACCAAGTGAGCAGCTATTCCAATTTAAGAAAAATAAGAAGAAGACATAATTGCAAGAAAGCGTCTTGCGTTTCAGAAACAAATAGGTTAAATATCGAGATGTAGCAGCAGCCTCAATGATAACGTGTTGTACCTGATGCTGTCTGAAGTTTCATTAAAACTCGAGCTCCTCAGCAAGGTATTTCACAAACCGTTGGATAATTTCTTAATCATTTCCTTTTCTATCATTCATGATAGGCATAATTGTATCCAAATTCATGCCACAGAAACGACCACCCATGGTTTCAGTTAATAATTATGCGGCTAAACATGTCACTCTCACCAGAAACATAATTCTTATACGGAAGCAAACGAGATAAAGAGCGGGTAAAGCGTGCCTTCCAGGGTCTTTAAAATAGTATTCAAAATTAAATCCGAAAGAATAATTTTGTAATAGACTAAAAAGCGGACACTATGAACACAGTGTAGATAAAACGTTCCCTCTACCATGGGGACATAGATGAATTATGTGCACTTTTCTCCCAGCAGAGATTTATGTCATGAATTAGCCAGAGATAAAGCTGTGAATATCTAGTGAAAAAAATGAACATCTGGCCCTGGTAGAGGGTAGATAAAACGCATTTTTTTTTATCGAAATCGGGTTCTGGTAGACTCCCTGAATCTGGATGATTATGTGCGCTCTCCTTAATACAAAATACAATACTAAATATACAAAAGTACCCATTTCCGTGTTCTGAAAGAAAGATCTTAGGCGTTTGGAGTAATTACTGTATTACTTATGTGAGATTTAGGGTTCTAATGGATTTGGTGCTACTTTACCTGTCCCTTGGCGTCAAAGTGTGGGCATTCTATCCCAATAATCTTCTGTATATATTCAAATCCACTGAAGATAAAGTGCTTTACGCCAGCGTCTTTCACGGCGTCGACTAGATTCTTACCCTGAAAGAGATACTTCAAATGATGTAATCAATTTGAATGTTTACGGGAAAAGCGGGATTGATGAATGAAAATGCTAGGTTATCAATCGATTCTCAAGCAGGTCAGATGACTAAAACCTAAAAGGTGTTGCGCGAGTGTTTTAGCTGGTAATGTTGCCCATTTAAATGCCATGGAATTTTTATTTGAGCAGATATATTGTTAGGGTATATACATGCATGAAGAACCCTTTCTGTGATTTTGGACTCATAAAATATTATTCGCGCAAGCTGTGCTTAATTGATGAGCTGTAATAGGTGTGTCATGGAATGTTGACGTAATTCCTTCCCATCATCTTCAGTTGGCTTACATGTGATTTTCGACACCTGGGCTCGACACCCGGCAAAATGAGTCCAGGGCCCCATAACTCGAAAGCATCGCAATATCACATAGAGGCAACAATGTATTATATGGGGCGAGTATGGGCGAATTATGGAACCGAGACGCTTGCGCTCGGTCGCAATGCGCGATGCTTTCGAGTTACGGGGCCCTGGACTCTTTTTGCCGGGTAGCCGGGTGGAGGAGCTGCTCATGACGTCACGTGTCACCGCCCAATAGAAATTTGCATTAAAAATTACGGGATAGAATTTTACGGTACTTGGAGCAATGAGAGGCAGCCATTCCATTCAATACGCACAATGATCATTCTATACCATAAAATACTATTAACTTTAGATGGGGTAGACATCGACGGAACCTTACCTGTTGGATCTCGCGCGGGGGATCCTTGGTGTCCACCCAGAAGTTAGTAACACCGAAGCACGCATAAGCGCCCTCTACCGCCTGGCGAACGCTGGCAGCATCATCTAGATCTGCCTGTACAACTTCACAGCCTTAAAAAGAGGAACGAGTCCAGTGAATTCATCTACGATCGCAAGGAGGTGAGCAACACACGAAATGTTCTTGATCTTATCTATAAAAGACATATAAGTTGTGAGGTTTTCGTAAAAAAGTGAAAGGAGAGCCAAATATCAACTTCATTTTTTGTCAGGCTCCGATTGATTTTATTTTGCATAGCATTGAATGATATTTCAACGTGCATGGATATGTAATCGTTGTTTGTGTGATCTTTGACTTAGGCATATAACAAAAATCAGGCACAAGCTGAGTATAATAATACACACATTATCATCATTATTCATATAATTGTTCACAATGACTTAGTGCTTTTTCGACCATATTCCATCATATTTCGGTACTTAGAGATGACCAGCTTCATGTGGCTACAAAAGTGCACTGACTTTTGAACCAGCTAATCCACATACCCTTAGCCCGTAATTCCTCCGCTTTTTCACTTGAGGCGTCCCTGGTAACGGCGCGGACCTTGTAGGCGTGGTCCTTTAAGAAGGCGTTGACCACGGAGCCCCCCTGTGCTCCCGTGGCCCCAAATACTACCATCAGCCACGTGTTCGGCATCTTTATCAGCTTAGCACATGGAAATAAAAAATGCTCTTTAAGTGTGTAAAAGAGTTTTTTCTTTCTTTTTTTTGTGCTTAAATCGGTGCCCCCTGGCACCCCCCTATCGATAAGATCCCCTTTCAAGAGAGGAGTAGCAGTGGAGATGTGTATTTCTGGACCAATACCATTTCGGCGTCCTATATTTCCTTTTAAAGACACGCATGTTCATTTTGCTGTATATTAGCAGATCATTATGAAATACGTTAATGGAAACGCTCTTGTCAAGGATTCAATGATCAGCACTATTTTCAATTTAATACTTTTTACAGACGAGGAGTTCCTAGGAATGGAACTCCGAGAGGCATTTCTAGTTTTTTTTTTCAATCAAGTTCCCTAGAATTTCAAGTGAATTAACTGTGGCGCCTGTACAGATGCTTGGAGGCATTAACCCAGTGATGAGGAATGGCATTCCTAAAATAAAGAAAACACTATAATTTTCTTTAACCGCCCTGCACGTTTTTGCCCTCCAAAACTGAGATGTGCAGCATGGACAAAAGTAATTAGAACTCCGTGAGATAGATCATACTGTACGCTGCTTTGAAACTAGCTTTGAATCCTTCAATCATTCGAGTTTTCTTGAAGGTAATAAACAACAAACTTCCTTCGTGCACAGCCCATCGCATTTTGTATTGGCCCGGACTCTTGTTTTTAGTGGGATATGATGGTTAATCAATAAAAGTGGACGGTTCACCCCCTGCCACAAGACATATAAAGACAAGCTTAAGATAACATTAAGTAACACATGCCAATGTCAAAGTTATTTGATATAAACATGAGCTGGAAAAAAACGGTTGGTTCTGACAGGCTGGAGTAAAGAATAAAATAAAATAAACACTCCGAAGTTCTCTGCAGCATTCCGTACAAGCAAGAATTTTATAATATGATAGCCATCAAAATCACCACGGAAACGACATGGAAACGACGTTAATCGCATGATTTAAAAATCTTTAAAACAATGTTTTGATCAAATATTTCCTGAAGGTTTGTACGCAACTATTCTTAGTAGAATTTTCAAGTTCAAAAGGATGCATATTATGCAATTCTGCGCATGCTGTCATTGGCAAACTTTTTTCACCCTAAATCCTTGACAAATGTATACATTTATATCTATATACATATATACTTGTGAATTTGTAGAGCGATGATTTACAAACGCACAAAAACTTCAAATATCCATTGTGAAGAATTATTTTCATATGTGAAAAAAATAATAAAACGCATGTATTCCCCAATCGCATTTTGTGGTAGGTACATTGTAATAGACATCATTTCACACATACACTTTCAAATAAACTTACCAGGAAATCGTACTGTTTACAAGTCCGTTCTCTCACACACTTCCAAATGCTCCTCGTTTACGCCAGGTGGTGGTAAAAACTGCGAGACGCACACCCGTTCTCTTCTTCTAACTGCAAATTCTGTTTGAAAAGTATGTCATTTCACTCGATGAAACTCAATTGAGGGCAGGTAAAACACAAACCTCATGTAAACAAGAATGCCGTTTCTGGCTTGCATTACCTTGCAAGTGGATGTGTCAGAATGCGTTCCTTGAGCCGTATGAACTGCCCTGACCTGTGAAACTCTGGAAGACCTGTTCACACTGCTATCGATCAGGGCACGAATGGTGCGATCCTGATCCGCATCTGCCTTGCTTTCGCTCACGTGTGAGTACAACATTTGGTTTGAAAATATTTTGGAACGCTTAATTTATCTAAAGAAGGACAAGTGCCGATCATCACTCTATGAGCTCATCTTGTTGTTTTGCGATCAATTTGTTGAACATGTTCATTAGCCGCGTGTTTTAGATAATCAAATAGTCTTTTAAGTTAATAGCTATAAAAAATTAAGTGGAATTTACCAGTCAACATTTTGTCTACTGACAGTCAGACTTCATCAGGAATATGATGTGATACATTTACTACCCATCAGACTTTTGGTGTGCAGGTTCAGTCAGGAACCCCCACCCCCACCCCTCCTCTGCCCGCGGGATAGAGGGCGGGTATGACCCCAGCCGTGGCGGGACAAACCCGAAACCCTGAGCAGAGTGAATTAGACAGACCAGACTATTCCAGTTTTCGCAATTTTCAGTAATGGAAGTTAACGTAATGATTAGCATGTGCACATCTTCATCTGAGCAAGATGAAAAAGGCTTCCTGTCAAATTATCAAATTTATGAAGGTGGGAATATCGGCCCACCAGCACTGCGGTAGAAGCCCTTCTTGATTTAAGTTGAGGGGGAAATAGTACATGTGTATTTCAAGAATAATATTAATATTTACGGAACGCTTCCTTCTTATTCATAAACTTGAACAGATTTTAAGCGTTTTCAACGTAGCGTATTCGGGAATATCAACAATATATGGTTAACGTTAACAGTAAACATGCAGAAAACAAGCAGCAAAGTGGGAGGGAAGTAAAGGGTAACTCACGCACCTTTTTTCTCTTCTCTATCTCAGTGCTTGAAAAAACGACAAATATAATTGTAATAATTGTGCTTTTATTTCAATTTAATAGCACATAAAACACAATATTCGCAGCTTGAAAAGTTCACTGCAATCTCCATGCAACAACCTTCAATTATAGATATAGACATTAATTTCCGTCCCTGATAGATCCGGTCAGTTCCTCTCACCTGTCTCGCCCGTATGACCACATACCTGACCTCAAAGTTTATTAACAAAGGTGTTCAAGATTGGTAGATCTTAGATATATCCGGCATCCCAATTAAAAGATGGGAACTGGTCAGAAATGAACTTTCTTAAGTGCCGTTCAGACAAGTACTGCTTCAGAGTGGGAGTAGGACAAACTCGTGTCCTCTTTCAGTTAGATTAAAGCAAGAATTAATACGTTCTAGTCGCATTGGATTCTCGCCATCATTCTTGACAGGTTACACTTTCTGCTTTTAACATTTTCCATCCTCAATATCTACATAGGTCTGGTAGTCCAATGCTAGGCTGTCAATTTTCCAGACTAAACCACAGGAAGACTTCATCCATGGATATTTGGCCATGTCTGTAATCAAATGATCAGAGCCCAGAAATAACTGAATGTCCCATATGTAAAAATTTTACAGGCATTTACTGAAAGTAACTCTACTTTTACGCAATTCTACTAAAACTCTTGTATACAGGCTATTGCAATCTATTTTTAATTTCTGAATTGGCCATAAATAACTGTGTAGCTATTAAAGAACCCTGTCATCTGGATAAATGTAATAGGCACCTGACGTTACAGTAAATGGCATTCGGAAAGAAAATACCACGGTTGAAGAGTTAGTTTTTAAATCCAACGATTTAAAACATATATTGAGCGTGAAACCGTTCAGTGTATAGTAAAAAGTAAATTTTCTTAGAAACTTCAAAACATAGTAAATCCATCAATGTGGAATCAACCCTAAACCGTTGAAAAAATAACGATCTATAAATCTGCCTTTAAGTTTTATAAAGATAATAAAAAACGATGCCTTTATATAGTATGCACGAAATGCATTACTAACAAATTACACATTTTATTGCCGAATCTTCATATGCCAAACTAGTATATGCATTCTGTTGGTGTCTCATGAATAAAGTTCACCCTTAGACAACTTATCATAGTTTTCAAGACCTTAAATTTGTAGAAACGATGTGAACTGAAATGTTGGCCTGAAAAGAAGCAAGCTGTTCTTTCTACATTTGTGTTAACGCAAAAAGCACAATTGCCGAAACAAAATGCGACAGTTGTGACTACTACCGTCCGTTAATCATGCCACAACCAGACACAGGTGAGTCGCATTTTGTTAGCATCATGTATACCGACCTATAGTTATGAGAGACAGAGAGAGAGAGAGAGATTTGCTGATAACCAAGATATGAGATGTGTTTGAGAGTCATTAATACCCAATATTGGTCGAATTATAAACAGTGCAACTTAGACAGAAAAAATCATAATATCACGACAGAATGTGATTTTTATGTTTTCATTTAATATCTCCACTTTAGCTGATCCCAGTCTTAACTTAAAATATCTTCAACTTAAAATATCTTCAATGCTTGCAGCACGTACTCACGTACTTTCTATTTTCTTTCTTCTTTTTTTTTTAAAGTGGGCTGAAATATCTCTTATTTTCTAAATTCATCTATCTATCTCTTCATGTCTCAGTGGCATCAAGCCAAACCGTGCCACGTTACTTTAGTGTACACAATGATAAGACCGATTAAAGTCAACACAGGGAGTCGAGCGTTTTTCATCATCACAACAGCAGATTTCTAAACAAATTAGACTCGTTAATGCCGTGAAGAGTTATATCAACATAGAAATGCTTATCTAAACCGACCGAAGGCGTATTAATTTTCAGTTTTGACCGATCTTTTATGGATACAATGTATTTATTTTAAATGTTTTTATTTTCAAGTCCGTCACCTGTTGAAATAAACACATTTAAAAAGGGCAAGACCAGAGCATGCGCAGTCATGCGTTGCTACACGCGCTAGGACTAGTGGAAAAATGTTCAACGTCACCGGCTAATTAAACAGGTGAAGTAAAAGATGCCAAAATGAGTTAAAAGCTTCATTCTTAATATTTATAACATACAGCTCAAAGTAATATCCATCTAGCTTAAATACAGCATAGAATTACCGTGGAACTGTGATTTTTTAACAATGAAAAAATTATATGACGTCATAGAGATTAATAATTACTCTTCCTGATATTAAGAATTAATTCATTCGTGGGTTCTCGTGCTTCCAGAATCCTACGCACATTAAACCAGGTAAGAAGCGCATGTTACTGATTCTTCTATTTTCCTCATGGTGTTATCGTTTGGGAGGTCGAACTATCGATTGGAAGTCTAATTGTTACACTGTTGTTTGAGAATGTTTCCATTGCTGCGTAATCTGTTGAAATATATACAAACGACGCTGTAAGGTCTGTATCGAACGTGCGCAGTGGCGCGTGGTACGTGAATAGCTCCCATTTTGAAGAATTGAGTTCACACAAAGTTCTGGGTTATTAGGAAAGTGGAGTGAAGGTTGCCATTACGGATTAAAATACTCCGCGGTGGAAATACCAAATCTTATGCTGTCAAGAAAGACTGAAAATAGGTAAGATACGACGTATACCACTGGAAGGGTACTCCATAGAGACGTACCTTCAAGCAGTCTGTTAAGAACTTATATGTAATTAATCAAATACGTTTTCACTCATTAAGAGATCGGGAGACGCGCCGGGCCCCAAATGCGGTGGCAGACAAATCGTCATACAAAGTATGCGAAGTGAGACGTTTCAACGCAACCAAGTTACATTCAGAAGTTTCATCATTTGTTCCTCTTCCTCCTTATTTTCTTTGATTTTTATTAAAAAATCTCACACCTATCAAGTGCTAACACCGAAAAAAGACGCAAAGTTATGTATTTAAACGATAAATAAAAGTCTTTTACGATCTCACTCGAGCTTTTTAATATCATATAATTTGAAAAACCCTATCGAAGGGAGATTGATCGATTCGGAGAGAGATGGGGGACGTTAGAAATAGGCCTTAAGGTACGTGCCGACCATGCACTAAACGGTTGTTTATTGTGAGATTAAGAAAGGTTTAGGCAGGTGCAGGTGTGTTATTTTATTGTTACATCTTTAAAATATTACACCATACTTCTTCTTTATATGTAACGACTCAACAACACGAAACAGAAATTGAAATAATTAACATTCTACTTCAGCGGGAGTCTAGACGTTTTAGTGATGAAAAACCCAAAGCAACGTGACCCCTTCATAATAATTTCCCCTTTAAGAAAGCGACGCAGAAAGCCACTTCGACAACAACTCAGTCAATCGTTTAGTTGGGTCAGATGATTCGTATTCACGGCTAAGAAAGGGCCTTGTGCCTTAATAAACAATTCGTTGGTTAGTGTTGCAGATATCATTATGAACCGATTAAGGCGTGAAGGCATATTGTACTCAGCTACACCTCTCGTTGAATGAGTCTGTTTGCTCACTTCGGCCACACTTGGTAAAGTCAGAAAGTTTACCTCTCCTGCAGCGATGGTGATACGAGCTTGTGTCAAAGGGGAAGTTCACTTGTTATGTAGGTTACCAAGAGTTTGAATCAGTACGACAGGAATATATATAGCACAGTGCGACGGAATATCAAGTAACAACTAATTATACTAAGCGGCGTTTAGCCTACCCAGTACCAGCAACAAACTTTAATTTTTTTCTTTTTTTGGAACTTAAGATTCCATATATGTTATGTATTCATCAGATGATTTATTTTGCTCATATTTTCAAGCACTGTATACTGTGTATACTGTGTATACTGTGTTAGTACATGTATGTCTTGCTTGCTTTATACGTGTATCAGTTCAATCCTCTCCATCGAACTAGCTGTAGAGTAATCAACGCGCAGTGTGTAATGTAAACAGTGGGGTTATTAGACCTCTTATTTCGTTTTATCAGTATCGATCTCTCCGTAATGATTAACATGTAATAAGCGTATTGATATCGCCGACAACTTATTTCTAAGCCATTGATATCTGAAGACAATTACAAG